ACCCCCTTTTTGAGAAACTCCCATGCAGGGCTCTGGCCTCCTTGACCCAAAACCCAGACCCCGCGTACCAACTACTCACCAGCCCCCAATATTTACTTTGGCCCACAGTATGTATAGCCATTCTTGTATATGCTACAAAAAGGAATATCCACCACTTGTGGTCTGGAAGGTGTATAAGATCAGGGGGAAGCGATTAAGTGTAACAGTTGTTTTCAGGCGGCGCTGTAATACTTCTAAGCATACTAGGCCAAAAGGAATCCTTCTGCTAATTAAACTCGTAACATAGGTAGGTGAGTTTGGGATTCAGGACCACAATCAAAAGAAGCCAAAAGGCCGAGAATTCTGTGGGCACATGTTGCGCAGCGGTTGCTGATGAAGCATCATGTGGGCATGTTCCCTTTCAACCTCGCACAAAACTTGAAACAAAGCAGCTTCACGGGATACAGGTGCCTCTAAAGACATTCAAAGGAACGAAAACATTGGCACACACCAGATTGCCCCACTTCTCCAAAGACTGAACTTAAAACACCCAATTCAGAGTTTCTCAAGAACAGCGCTTGCTCTTCATGTGGCATCCCTCATTGTCGGCCTTCGAACAATTCTTTATTTGGATTTGAAAGGTCTCTCCCCAGAGAAGCCCTTTTACTAAGCGAGATGGATTAAGCCGACTTCATCCCAACAGCACTTATAGTGAATTCCTTGCCTGACCCTAAGACTCACACCGTAAATCCTACGCCCCTTTAAACCCGCTGAGAGCCTTGAGTCTACTGAAGCCCCTGATTAGTCTGAGGCGCTAAAACCTGGTACTGCATTTATGCCACGACATTCCTAGACAGCCCCCAAAAAGGACCTAAATCGCAAGCATCCCAAAAATCATCCATGCATAGCCGTTAAACGCCCCTCCTCCTAGAAAACTTGAAAACTTATGTAAATATGTGAATAGACATATATAAGCACTCTCTCTTAGATGTAGATGAGCAAGCAAAAACAAACGCGGGGGTTCATCATTTTTTCAAGCATCGCCCCTGGATGGTCGAAGGACGTCAGCTGCAAGGCAAAGCCCCAAAGCCATGGCTCCTTCAGTCCAGTGAAGTTGCAGAGGCTGGGGTTTAGGGTTTAGGGTTTGGGGTTTAGGGTTTGGGGCTTAGGGTTTAGAGTTTGGGGCTTGGGGTTAGGGGTTTGGGGTTTGGGGTTGGCTGCTCCTACGGTTTTTGGGTTCAGAGTTTGGAGGTTCCTGGGACTTAGCAACTACTTACAGCTGGGGAAAGAACCCCAACTAGAAGTAGGTAACCCCTATAAGGCCATTTAGGGGGAGTATAAGTAGGGTTATAAGCCAAGAGATAATAATCCATAGTGGACAACAAAATGAAAGCTACGATGTTATTTAGGTAAAAGAGCATTGGAGGCTACAAAATACTTATTGAGGTTGAGGGTTTAGGTCTAGGGGTTAGGGCTGGCCGCTTATTGTTCGGGGCCTGCAGTTTGGGGTTCAGGATGTTGCTTCCACTTGGAAGTTTCACGCTTAGTTTGCAGGGGTCATAGAGGGGTATGTAGGGATGCATAGGGTTGGAGGGGTTGTAGGTACCCCAGATAGAGCTATTGCGATGCTACTTGCAAGCACAGTTCTATCTACCCTTATGCTTCCAGATAAGTGGTTCAGTTCGAGACCTTACTGAAAGTTCCAGCCTTCTGCGGGTGGCTTAAGGCTCATCGGGGTCACAACAGTCATTTCAAGCTTTGGGATTTAACGGCAGGGAGTTTCTTTTGGAGGATTCTCGAGTGAAAGAGTGAGAAAACCACTTCAGTCCCAGACGGGAGTAGGACAACGCTTCCCTATGTCCCCGTATTTGCCTTCATATAGCCCCTACATATACGTGCTTATTTGTGTGTATATAGATGTAATATATTTCCAGCCGACCAGGGCAGAAGCCAATTTTCAGTTTCGACGCCACATGCAAAAACGGGTCTGTAAGACACTCTTTTATGTCAGTATGTCGCTTTTGGCAGTTACCCATATGAGGCCAGTGGCAAAAGCTGTCTCGAAGATCATGTCAGGGTTATTGTTAGGATTAGGTCTAACTCCTGGTGCATTGCTATCATGACATTTGTTTGTTGCAATCGTTGCCTGATACTGCCCACGCTCATTAACAGGCGGAGAATATTCATAATATAGCCCTATATAGAGCCTTGAGTATGACACCTATTATAAACTGTTAATGGGTGGGGCCGGGACCCAAATCATTTTTGCTATTGCAAATCATTCGAAAAAAGTGGTCCAGGCGGGCATCGAGGCTTTTCAGCGCCTTCGTAGAGGAGGCTGGGAGTGCCCAAATCTGACTCTACAGGACTTTCTAGGGTTCTTACTCCAAAGTTATGTAACCTTAAGCCTTTAAACCCTGAATCCGGAACCTAGGCCCTACACCCTAAGCCGTGAATGCCAAGCCCTGAAACAAAAAACCCTTGTCTGCGCAAAGCTTTGTTTGACAAGGTGCACAGAGCCGAGCCAGATGCAAAATTCAGCTCCTGGGCAGTGCCTGGCAACCACGGACTCGAGGTGGTGCTTAAAGTTTAGGGCGCGCTCTACATTGGGGTAATATAGGGGATAGATAGGGATAATGGAAAAGAACATGGAAGCGACTCTTATATAGAGGTAATGTAGGGGACATAGTTAGGCTTTACGGTTCATGGTTCAGGGTTCAGGGTGCAGGGCTTAGGATGTAGCTTCCAGGATCCGTTGTTTAAGGTTGAGGCACTTGACAGGTTTGCCGTGCTGGGATTTCATGAGAGATATCGTGGAATGTTCGCTTGTTTTGCCCTCAGCCAGACAACTGGAGTTCTTGTTCCTACATGAGTTCAGAGGCAACGCACATCAAGGTCATTTTTGAAGTGCTGTGGTGCAAAGTTCCTGAGAAGAGTCCCTGTTTTGGACCGCCTGCCCCAAATTCATGCACTTTCTGACAGCATCTTAGTTTACCAGGAGTTGCTGGTTCATGGGGTAGTCGAGGAGTTTGAGGGCTTGGGGTGAAGGGTGGGGATGGGATCACTTCCTGCCCTTGGTTTGTGTAGGATATTGGCAAAGCGATCTTTCACGTGCACGGCAGTAGGGGGCGTCTTTCAGGACGTCTTAACTAGTTCGGACATGTGGTCAGGTGGTTGTTCTCGCTACGGCGGCTGCGGGTGCATGCCATACTCACCTCCTTGTGCATGCAAAGACGGCGCTGATTGTACAGTATGGGCTGGCCGGGCAGGATAAGGCTGTGCGGACAAATCCCCGATGAGCTACAATCTTCTGATATAATCTCTCAAATTACAGCGCCCTCCCCGTAAGAGCACCCCCCCAAAAGCCAAGTACTATGATTCTGAGACCACCCAACGAGGCCTGGAATTTCTCCAAGAGGCTGCCTCTCGTCCGTGCTGGCACGGACAAGTGGGAGGCCTCTTTTGAAGTACCAGCGCCAGACATGGACAAGTTCCTCATGTTTGTCTTCTACGATGGTGCCGCGAACCGGTGGATCAAGCACGGGCATCATGACTTTGAGTTTGAGATGCCTTTTCACGAGGAATGGGGCCGAACTCAGAAGGAATTGGAGGTAGAAAGTGTCCAAGACACCCCCATCCAACTGTTCAGCCACCTGGGCTATTCCCAGCAGGTAAAGAAGACGGTTCAGGAGGATGGGCTGGCCACGAAGGGCCAGTTCTTGGATGGAAGGCCCGGGCGCCAGGCACGAGCAGACATTTCCTTCACCCCCTTCGAGCTGCAAGGTGACTTTGGCTCGTTGGATGTTTCGTGCATCTCTCAGGGCCAGTCACGCGCAAAGGTAGAGATCAGAGCATGGCTCCATCCGCGTCTGGGCGAGTGCATGCTGCACTTTGGTGTTTTCGAGACGCCCCAGTCCACGGAATGGACATCCGCTACACAGATCCGGTCTGTAGACTGGCCTTCAGACATGCGAAAAATTGACCACCAGGCATGCCAAGCAAGTCTGCGCAAGATGACGGGTGGGATGCACGCCTTGGATTTTACCATGGCAGCCCACGCGGAAGTAGAAGGGAGCCAGACCATCCATGTCCCTGAAATCGCGGGATTCGGCTTCGTGCTGAAGACTGTCCAGAATAGCATTTGGGTGAAGCCGGCCCATGGAGGCGACGCTGTTGTGCGCTTCTCTCAGCCGGCCCGATGTCACTGGAATGCGGAAAGGGGCGATGGCACCTGGGCCCAAGTGGCCGACACGATTGTCCAGCAAGAGATGGGGAACAACATGTCCTTGAAGCTGAGGTACGAGAATTGCTTGCACTTCTTGGACGTGTTCGAGAGGGTTTCTGGTTCCCAGATGCGGCGCTTGCAGTCCTGGAGGACTTTGCTTCAAGTTGACTCCAGCAAGGCTGTGTGGTCCCGTACACCCTCCATGCCGCTCATCCACGAGTCCACCGATGACGAAGAGTTCTGGAGTTGGATCTTCGTGTGGCAGCGCTTGTCTTTCCAACAGCTGCTGACATGGGAGCGAAACTGGGTTGCTGTTAAGGGACTTAATTCGAATTACTATTCGGGGAAACCATATTAACTATTAGACATACTCATTACAGTAACTTATTGACTATTAGATATACTCATTACAGCAACTTATTAACTATTAGATATACTCAATACAGTAACTTATTAACTATTAGATATACTCATTACAGTAACATATTAACTATCAGATATACTCATATTGTAGTAACTTTATTTAGATTCCTCAACATCAACCCAGGAAACTTCAACACACAGCCTCGGCTGCTTGCGGCCACGATCAACCAGCTGACGCAGCGCCTTGCTGAATTATGGAAATCCACACCAAATTGTCGCCTCTGGATTCGTTGGACGCTGTCCACTATGGGACGAGGGGGATCAGCCGGCCAGAAGATTAGAGACGAGATCCTGGTCATCATGCACTCGCACCACATCAAGGAAATCCATGGCACATACTACGAACAGTGGCACCAGAAGCTGCACAACAACACCACTCCGGCGGACATCGGCATTTGCCGTGCCATCATCGCCTACCTGAGGAGTGGCGGTGACATGGGGGTCTATTGGAGGGTCTTGTCTGAGCACGGCATCACGCGAGAACACCTGACCTCCTATAGCCGGCCAATCACAACGGAGCCGTACATGGTGCAGACAGACATCGGACGCCTGATCCGTGACTTTGAGAGATATCTTGACATCCTCAGGAGCGTGCACGATGCTCTGGACTTGCAAGTGGCAGTCGAACATGCCAAGGAGCGCTTGCCAAACAATTTACTCGGGCGATTGCGCGACGTCTGCAACATGGGCGGCACTGGATTCAATAGCCTTGACGAGGGCCACGGCAAGTTCATGCAAGTTGCAGGTGCCCGCGATGACGTTCTGGCCGTCCTAAACAACAAGGATACAGATGCCGGGGTGATCAGACAGCTGCTTGTCATCGACTTCACCTTGGAGACCCAGCAGAGTGTTTTGGTCCAGGGGCTGACATACGAGACCCGGCTTCCGCCCCTTGTGGACCAGATGAGGGCCCTGCTTATTGGGCTTATGGGGCAATTACCCCTGGAGCCCGAGCTGCCGGCCCTCCTTGCTGACTGGAATCTGGGTGGCATTTTGAGATAAAACATGCTTGCCCATGGTATGTTGTGCATTTGAACCCATGTAAAAGTAAATGTGGGGGTCTTCAGAGTACCACCCAGGAATGCATTCGCGCAAAATTGTGCCTCTCGGCACAATGAGGACTCTGCTCTGCTCCTGAAAGCCTTGGCAGATCGCATCAGCCGAGTTGTGGGTGAGCTGTCCGACAAGTGCCAGAGGATGATGGGTCCCAAAGTAGCCTTCCTGGGAGAAGCCCTTGGCATACGAAGGAGGAGCATTGATATCTTTGTTGATGAAGTGCTGCGTGGCACGTCGCTGATGGCTGTTAGCATTCTCTTGCAGCGGCTGGAGCCTGTCCCTGGGGTATTCTTGGAATAAGTTACTATTTTCATGGACCATAATCCTTATCGATTCCCCATAAAGCCATGAGCTTTTGCTCACTACAAAGCCCTTAACTCTATCCCAGGTTCTGAGAAACATTGCGCAGCTGCCTCCCTGGCAGATGGTCTCCCCAGTGGAGAAGCCGATCCAGGGCATCTTCAAACTCATCGACAACATGACGGGCATCCAGGGGGAGGTCTTCCACACACCCACGATCCTGCTTAGCGGGGCGGTGAGTGGGGAGGAGGAAGTTCCGGATGGCGTTCTGGGTGTCCTGGTGCGAAGTGCCCAAGAAGCACCTGACATCTTGTCGCACTGCGCAGTGCGGGCCAGGAATTTCGGTGTGCTTCTCGCAACCTGCTTCGATCCAGGCATATCGGAGCGGCTGGCGGCCGAGTTCGCTGACAAGTGGGTGGAAGTTCGCTGCAGGCCCGATGGCAACCTGACTGTCGTGGAGGTTGAGATGCCAAACATCCTAGAAGATGATGCCACCACAACCATCGACCGTCCCAAAATATTTAAAACCAAGGTGAAAATGAATTTGACCAACAACCTGGGATGTTCCTGGTGTGTGCGGCCCGATGAGATGACAAAGACAAATGTAGGCTCCAAGAGTCTGAACCTGGCTCTCTTGAGGCCAAAGCTGCCAGAGGGCATTCTTACACCACAGGCTGTGGCCTTACCATATGGTACTATGCAGAAAGCTTCTGGGTTGCTGCTAAGGAACTTAAGTTGAGTTACTATATGGGCGAACCATATTGTTTACTGTACACACACAAATTATGGTGACTTTACTTAAGTTCCTTACCAGCAACCCAGGCTTTGACCGATGACTGCAACAAGGATGTGCTCCCCAAACTGGAGAATGTTCTCAGCCGCTTGCAGCCCTCCACCTCCAACGAGGATGCCCAAGTCATCTTTGAGGAGGCCCAGCAATTGATAGAGTCCATGCGCTTCCCAGCCCCTCAGGCTGAGTTAGTGAGGGGCTAGGGTTTAGGGCCAGCATGGGGTGAGGGCTTAGGGCATATGACCCATAGATCAACCACAAGATGCGATTTTTCAAGAGCCCACCAATCGCCTTTGCCGTTGGATTGCGAGGGTTGCACGACAACATCCAGCCTTTCATGGCTTTCCCACTTGCAGCAGGATGCATAGGCGTTGCATTGTAGAATCAGAAGGCCCCTCTGCCCCAACTAGCAACTGGTATCTCATGGTGTTGTAACTTGTCTTTGCCGTTCCTCAAAAGGCTTCAAGACGCAGAACTCAAGTCTCAAGCTCTAGCATCCCTGGGGGTCTCTAAGACCCCCCCCCCCCCCCGCCATATTGAAAAGCGCCCCAGGTAGCATGACATAATCCTTACTAGCCCCAGCCAAAGACCGTTCATAAGCCAAGGAGTCTCTGAAGAAGGCGCTGGCTCGGGCTATGGAGGAAGTAGGTAGCCAGGACGGTGAGGACAGAGCTCAGAACACGGAACCCTCCTAAAGTCATATTGGGGTTATGTTATGGTGAGATTACATTGGAATTCTATTGGGGATAAAAAGTAGCAGAGAAGAACAATGTTTAGGGCTCAGGGTTCAGAATCACACTCGGGTTTCTGCGTGGGGAATGATAAGGTTAAGATGCTCTGAAGACCTTGCATTTACGATGTTTGCTTACATGATTGGTGCATCTTGTTTGCAAGATGGATCTGCATAGTCCATGAGCGAGTTTCACCAGCATCTCCTTGTAGAATCCTTACAAACCATTAGGGTTTAGGGTTT